CCACTTTATAATAATAATAATAATACTCATTATTATATGATACGTCATTCGTGCCCGTCGCCCATACGTCTGTCTCACGGACTCGAACGATCATCATCGGCGGCGGCGCATGGTGGTAGCCACTACAACCACGGATCGCGTACAGGTATACATAGGTATATACCTGGATAGGTATATAACATAATGTTAATAATATGAAGTGGGCCCCCCGCGCGCGTATCACTGGGAGCCAGTGGCGGCCCGACGTCGTATACAATCCGTGGCGGCGGCAGTCCCTAACGAGCGTCACGTACCATCTGATCCGACTTCTTTCATATGCACCGCCATCGCATGGTATTTCGGTGCACTTTAAACGAGTCTGATTAAATTACGGGAATCCTCACGACCCGCCGCCGACGCCGCTTCTCGTAGTTAAGGGGGCAAAACTAAAACGACGGCGAAGACAGTTTCTCTCGTTCACTATATATATACACGTATGTGTATATGTGTGTGTGTGTGTGTGTGTGTGTGTGTGTGTGTGTGTGTGTGTGTGTGAGTGTGCGTATATAGTCTTCTAGTTTGTAAACATATTATAATGTGCACAGTATGTTACTTGGTATGTATAATATTATAAAATAATATGTACGGAAATAGTGTCGCGAATATGAATCCGACTTGTAACGTCCACAATGTTGCAAGTCGACGACAACAAATTTAATTTGATTTTTCCTCGCGGCGATTGCGCGAGCAGGCAATCAATGGAGTTTTACGAACAATATTGCGGTGACTTTAAATAAATACAATTTTGAAAACTACTGTGCTACTTTTTTATAAGATGTTAAAAAAAAACACCTGTTAACTGCTTGGATATGAGTTAGATCGCAAAGCGGAAAAGCAGCAAGTTCAAAATATGTAGCAAGTCAGATTTTTAAGTTGACTTCTCTATAACAGCAGGAACTATCCTTCTTGGAGAGGTTGGTTGTTTGGATAGAAGTTTTTTGAGAAGAGTCTGTTGACTGTTGAGTTGGTCTGAGCCTTTGAGGTTCATCGTCAGTGTTAGGACTTGGACATTTCCCTCTAAAATAATTTGTTTTTAGACTTGCAATAAAATATTTGATTAGGGTTTCCGGAATTCCGAACCATGTGTACTTTGAACTAAGTATGTACAAGATTTAAAGTGGTCTAGAACTTTTAATGAAAATACAATTTTTTGGTATTTTTATCTTTAACATAATGTTTTATAAGGTTTTTTTCTTTATTTTATATACATCATTCGTATCTGCAAGTACAATGATTAGAGTTTGAGCTGTCCATGAACAGCTTAACGAAAAGAGTCACCCATTGGTCATAAAAGGTAAGTATGGTAACACACTGACACTTCCTATTTAGAATATCTAAATAATATACATAACACTATTTAGAATATCTAAATAATATACATAACAACACAACCTGTTCATTTTCAAAAAAAAATTCCTTAAAGATCATTATATAGGAGCCACACAAAATAATGTTCGCTGTTCATTTTTGGTGATCTTTACTCTAGAAGTGGCTGTTCTAGTCTGTTGACACAAACAACTAAATATTTTATTTATGACTTGGATTCTCTCATGGTCATACATCTTCTGAAACACATTTTTAAAACAAATAGTAATAATTCAGGATGTAGGTACCTACACATAGCATATACCTAATAATATGTATATACTATATTATATTATCATTTAACATTAGAACATTATATAAGTAAACGTCATGTATAATATAAAAAAAAATTATATATTACACTGAGTTTGATCACTACAGTTGATCACTAGCATATAAAATCGTTTACTGAAATATAAAAATAAAAAAAAAACATTTTCTTATTATTTAGTTTAATTTAATCATAGTTTAATAATTTAATTTCAGTTAATTTTAATATGGAAAATAAATTACGAGACGCTCAAGTAGTCAAGCATAATAATTAAGTGTTTGTAATTTATTTTTTTAGATTTTTTTTCAAAAATAATAGATATTGTAATATGTTCAATCTGTTTTACTTTTATTAAACCTATTACTATAATATAATAAAAAATGATTATCAAACATATTATTATATTTTACGGTTATAATATTATACGCTATCTTATATTACGGGTTAACAGAATCCAATTAATGACCCTCACTAATGTACATAATTACTAATTAGTATAATTAGTTTAATTAGTAATCCATCATTGTTTAAATTTTTAATTAAAGCGATACAATAAAAATTTTATTTTAAATTCCTATATCCACGAGATACTCGTATTATACCTATTAGACCACGGGTTATAATATGCATTTTCGTATAATATGCAATATGCCAATATCATAATATAATCGCTTTTTTCTACAACAAATTCATATTTCACGGATTCGTAGTTTTAACGGCATATTACTCATTTTTCTACACGAAAAAAATTCGACAGTTGGACACTGCCAGATTGGTTTCCATAGCCGTCATTGTATCACGTAAAACGTTATTACCTATATCTACCTAGGTATAGGTATCGAGTTTTTATATGAGATTTCGTTTAATCGTTTGCTGCACGCTCACAATAACCAGTTACGTGTCTTTTCTACGTTTAAATAATGTCCTTTGATGTTGTTCTTTTTATGCATTCAACCTTATTTTGGACGACAAACGCCATGATGGTTTCACAATGGTTCACTCGGATATAGCCTAGTAATAGCGACGCCCCTGGTAATATTATATTTCTATGAAAACTATAGGTAGTACCTTGCTAAGTAGGTCATAAAGGAATGTTACTTCATTTATTATATCAATATATTTTATTGTTTTCAACAAGACCTATTTTTATAAAGTTAATATTTTTTTTTTTTTGCAGGTACTACTTTAATATTGAATGAATACCTAAGCGTATACACTTTTTCACAACTAGATCATAATAAAACTATCAAAAGTAGTTTTTTTTAATTTAATTTTTATTGCATATTTCAACATTATCTATGCATATGTCAAGCATTTATGCTGAATTTCTGCATACTTGCATACATATTATGATATTATAATCGAGTTTATTTTTGAGGTGTTTTATCCGTGGTCAAATGATTAATAGTTTTATTTCATATCATGCTGTTTCAGATATATGAAGTGAAGCGAGTAATATTTATAAACTATTGTACCTATGTTTATTTTATAGCTCAAAATATCAACTTCAATATCGGATAAATTATATTTTATGAATCACAAAGATAATTTGTGGTTTTACTTTAATTTACTTTCGACGTGTACAAAAAATGAAAAATAATTTTTCCATTAGGATAATAACAGCATAACAGTACAGTACATTACGATATCACCGTAGATCTAAAAAAAAACTGGCGGCGTATCATGCATTAGTGGTCGCTTTCGTGACAATGGCGATGTGGGAAAAATGCGAATTTCTATGTCGTCAGTCCGTTGATACTGTCACACGACAAACATGCATTATACTACACGAAGGAAAAATAGAGACGATAAACAAATAAATGTTTGGTGGGGACCTCTCAGGTCCGGTTTGTTATACCTTAAGGAGTTCTCCGAGACGACTACCCTGCACGGTATACGCCATATTGGCCTATCCAACAGACATTTCATAGAAATGTAAGTAGTACAAATAATAGGACTTGACGAAATAAACATACAAAATCAATTTGTTAATATTAATAATATATAATAATATATATAGATTATAGGTACATCGCTTCCTCTTTATAGTTTATATAAATTATTTAAATAATATGTATACAACACGAAAAAGATGTATAGGTCGTTTGGCCGTATGGGTACTATAATACTCGACTAATATATTAATATTATTATTTTATTCATAAGCATATTATACCAAAAATGTAGACACTTCTCATCGAGAGTGTCTTATATTTGTTTACTCATCATAAAACCGTTTTACTCAGATTTCTTTGGGTTCTCTGCGAAATTTTGGCAATTTACGGATCTTTTAATGTGATGCGTGACAGTTGGATACGATACAACACAAACCCTACTGTTATAACAGTACAGAAAGATTATCGATTTTGGTACCTTCAGTTTCCAAGTACTACATTCTGTTACGTAGACCCCGTGGACACAGAATTCGCTAGAGATTATGTACAGCGGTGGGTGGATATAATATTGTGCTGTAAAAATCTTATTTGTATTAAATGTACAATATTTTTTTATCTAGTAAATGGAAAGTAAGTTCTGGAGAAAAATTTGATTACTACATGGATTTTGTGAAAAAAGTTGCGAACACAACGTATGAAAACATAGACAGCATTGCGCCTTTTGTTAATAATACTGAATTAATAAATGTTGACATTATCGACTTGGTTTTGAAGGTATTGTTGAAATTTGTAATTTTTATAAGGTTTTTATACATGTATTATATTACAATGTATTGGTATAACTTATAAATATTCCTTAATGAAAATAATAAAAACAAATCCAAAATATTAGGACAGGTACAAAGATTAAGTATAGTCGTTGCAGGTCTTGATTTACTTAAAATCCTACCCAGCCTATTATAATAAGGTAGATACATGATTGTAAATTTAAGATCAATGTTGTCTCTTGTCGTCGTATTCGAAAAACCTATAGAGACAAAAAATCGGATCTCTATAACATAAATAGTATAGACTATTCAAAATTTTAATCAACTCATAAAAAAATTACCGTCAACATTTGAACTGAAAACTAATAAATATCGTAAAAAAAGTGTTGAGATTTTATAATTGCTGTAAGAAAACATATGAGAAACGTTGTATTAAATGTTTAAAGTATAATAAGGTATTAAAATTTAAAAAATAAAATCCACGTTTTGTAGTATAAAGATTAATAAATATGTCTTAATGTTAATTATGATTTATCAAAAAATTTTAATTTTAGTGTTTACCATAATTGTATTATCTTACAGGTACATGCTGAGCCTCGTTTTAGAACCACAATATTCAGCACTGACTATAAAAATATCACTTTCCAACCAGTATTAACTGAAATGGGTATCTGTTACACCTTCAGTGGGACAATAACAAATTACTTAACACCCAAGTAAGCAGTTGTTGGAATAATATTTTTAAATGTACATTTCCGGGCAATATATTTGTTATTATCCAAGTGACTGGGGATTAAATATCATAATAATGTTTGTATAATTATATACTATATAGGTATATGAACCTAATAATGTAAACCTAAAAAACCAAATAGTTTAGCTATATTACGATGATATAAAAAAACCAGTATACCTATAATATTTACCTTTTTACTAAAATTATAACAAATAATACAAACCTATTATTTGATAAATATTAAACACATCTTTATAATTACAGTAGTGAACTCCAAAACATAAATTCCAACTCTCCAACACCATCGTGTAACTTTCTCAACTCATTATGTTACGCAAGAACAGAATACCTACCTCGGAGTGTTTTGGTAATTATAAAAAAACTTTGTACGACATTAATGGATTTATAGTTTATACTTAATAATTATTATAATTGCGTGTCCATTGATAATTATTTATTTAAAAATAACCGGGTAAACGTATGATCTTTTGCGAATTATAATTTATTTTTAAAACATTAATATAATCGCAGTATTTTATGTGGAAGGATCAACGGTAATCACAGTGTATACCTATTATGTATTTTACTAATGCCTAATATAGGTACTATACAATAATAAACACATAAATACACAATAATGGGCTTGACTTGGAGACTGGTATTTTTTTATCGAAAAATTGAATTTTATTATTTAAACTGACTCGCTATAAATTGTTCTGTATAGCCTGTATAGTGTATATTTTTAAATAAATATATAGATAGTTCACCTAAAATGTCATAAATAAATGTACTGCAATATTATATTCGTTACAGTATTACGTGCATTACCCAAAGGAAGTGCCAAATATAGTAGACAAATATTATTCGGTGCAAGAGAATATGGAACGAGATACTACCTTTACGTTTTGGGAGATGACATCTGCTCCCGAATTGAGACGACTAAGCCCGTCGCAACGTCGATGTCGTTTCATGGACGAACCAATGGACAACACAATACCCGTTTACAGTTACAACGTGTGTAGGATGATATGCAGAAGAAATCTGGCTCTGAAGATGTGCAAGTGCACTCCGCACTTTTACCCGTACCCAGGTGCATCATAATATAATATAATATTATTTTATTACAGTCGATTTTAAATAAAAATTATTACAGACACTTAGGTACACACTCAAATACTTCAGCAGGCAACAATATTATACCGATATATTATGCTGTGATTAATTATTTCCAAATGCAATGCAATTATTACGAATTAATCGTAATGTCAGAACTCAATATTCGAAACTCGACAGACCATCTTTTTTTATTAATATTATTTCGTTTCAATCGATGGATATATTATTGTCTTTTAAACATAGGCGCGTAGACGGGAGGGGTCACTCCGGTGGACTGCGCCTACAAAAAAAATTATGTGCGACTAAAAAAAATTTTGTATATTATGTAATGTTAATATTACATAACAAACTACATTAATTTATTGTACAAGATTCCTCACCACCTTAGCACATTAAATGAAAATCGATGTTATATCAAACTTCTTAATGTTGCATGAGGTATTGTACGTGGCGCGTTTTTTTATTGTGGTTTCCCCAAGTATAAACTTTAGGCCTAATCCACACAGAGGAGAATGGGCGAACTGTCGGACATTAAAATGTTATAATAAGGGAAATGGTTACACGTTTTATCGTATTATATTGTGTATTTTAAGCTAAACTGACTGATAATTGTTTTATAACATAACTTTTATTTAATAAAATATAAATATCCATCGTCTGACCGAAAAATTCCCATTGTCCTCATTGCCAGTGTTGAATTCAAGACGTGTAAAATATTATGGACAGACGAATCGCGGAAAAAAAGCCCACGGAAAAAAAGCCCAAGGAAAAAAAGCCCAGAAAAAAAAGCCCACGGAAAAAAAGCCCAAAAAAAAATACACTGAGGAAAAAAAGCCCACGGAAAAAAAGCCCAGAAATATAAACCAGCTTTCGATCGTTCCTTCATCGCACACAAAGCTTTTTCTATCTTAACACTGTCATCATCTTTCAAATGACTATGTCCTGTTTTTACTTCTGGGTTCTCCATTTTGAGATCGGTGTATAATTCTCCAGTACATTTCACTGAACACCTCTGAGAACTGAGAACACCTCCAGGTTATTTTTGATACGCCAATATACTTTACAACATATACATAACCTTTGTAAAAACCTTTGTTACCACCTTTATTTGATTTGATAATCTCCATATTCACAAAAATTAGTAAAACAAAAGTATAAAATATATAACAAATGTATAACTGGATAAAACTGTACTAGTAGGACGTGTAGATAGTATCTCAATAACCAAGTAATGGAGTACTATATGGAGTGTCAATATTACCCAGTTATTGATAAATTTTAACATTTTGACTGGTTATATATATAAATTATATTGGTAAGTACCGAACAATATAAATTAAATTAAATGTAAAAGTGCTTATCAATAGTCTATATATATAAAAATGAATGTATGTCAGTCTGTGTGTCTGTGTGTCCATGTTACCATGGTTACCAAGGTTGCCATGGTTACTAAGGTTACTAAGGTTTCATGGTTATTAAGGTTACCATGATCCATAGTTACCATGGTTACCGTAGTTACCATGGTTACCATAGTTACCATGGTTACCAAAGGTACCATGGTTACCATGAGTGTTGTAGCTATTATAATCAAAAAAGGTCTTTAATGGGCAACGAAGTGCATGGGATCAGATATTTTATATATATAGTCCGTGTGTGTCCAGTGGACACTGTCCACATTACCATGGCAACCTTTTATATTTTATTTTGTAACTTCCTATGGAAAGTTTTGTATATAAATGGTTGCCATTTTGATATGTAGAACATATTATTCATGTAGAGTTGTAATTTTTAATGTGAATTGATAATCATTGAGATGTTGACGATGTTGTGCTCAAATAGGGATTTTGAGATTTTATATGGACTTTTTCGTTTATAAATAGTTGCCGTGGGTTTCAAAGCTATATAATAATAATAATTATCGGTTGCCATTGGTTAATTTGGTTGTTATTTAAGAAGACCAGTTGATTTATTTGTGTACGCACCGGACGGTACAACGAAAAATATTGTATATCCAAAAGCACTTCTGTAGATGGCAAGTGTAAAACTGTGCACGAATATTGGGTAATCCATTTTAAGTTAGGTAAGGATAATAATTAATAATGAATATCGAGATTAATATAATCAATATAATTCATATAGAGTTGGTATTTTTATTGGGCAACGAAGTGCACGGGATCAGCTGTAAATTTAATATGCATAAAATATGTATCATGGGAGTTAAAACTGAGGTAGGGTGATCATAAAAATAAAATTATATGTAGATTTATATGTAGTAAAACTTTAAAAAATAATATTAATCTATATATATAAAAATGAATGTATGTCAGTGTGTGTGTATGTGTGTGTGTGGGTCCATATTACCATGGCAACCATATCTGTATATAAAAAACAGTAAGCTGATTGACTGCTCTCAACGCACAGCTCAAACCATTGGACGGATCTGGCTGAAATTTGGCATACAGATAGCTATTATAATATAGACGTGCGCTAAGAAAGGATTTGCCAAAATTCGAATTTTTAAATAGATGCTGAAACAGGGACATTGAGATTCACGATAGAAATTGGAAATTTTATTTTTATTTATTTATAGTTGCCATTGGTTACAGTCTACATTAGAAATTAGCATTTATTTATTGGTTGCCATTGGTTATTCGGGCAGATCAGGTACAAGCTTGCATCAAATCGAATTATTGAACAATGCTTACCAGGGTGGCAGAGTTGCACTTACCGCAGAAAATTACACCCAAAAGGAGTTCAACAATCATAATTTTTTTAAGAGTTGCGATTTTTTACGAGCAACCAAATTTATTATATTAATCCACAGTATTACTTCAAAATAAACTTGGTATAACTTTGATACTTTAGAGTTAAATCATACACTTCCGTACAAACAGCACGGGGTCCGCGATCTACCGCAGGTAGATCGCCTACCTGATAATGTACTGCCGCGATTCAGAATTTTTATTCAGGGCAACGGGAAGGATAAGATAAATTTTGAACACCATACACGTTAATGAATTGAACAAAGTTTGAGTAGGTAGTATTGAGTTGATCCATTTAACGGGCGACGAAGTGCACGGGATCAGCTAGTTGGGTAATAAAAATGCAATTTATTGACAGGTGGTTCATCAGTTCATGGCAGTATCAAACCCTCTATATCAGTGGCGTATTTACGGGGGGGGGTCCGGACCCCCCCAGAAAAAAATATAATTTAATATAATTATTACATCGTAACTCGTATGTGTTTTTTTTATATTATAAACTTGTAGGTACCTAATATTTAGACCCCCCCCACAAAAAATTTCAAAATACGCCACTGCTCTATATAATAATATACCTTAATAATATTTCTTAAATTAAAATACATTAAAAATTTTTAATAGTTATATATTATGTATTTATGTATAAGTCATATTTGAAATTTTAATATTTTCTTTTATAAAATTACCTATATATGCCTCTTATACAATTATTTATGATTATTATCTGTTATAGTATAGTAATGTATTATTAATATATTATTATATTTTGTTCACATTTATATTTATATTTTTGGGCTTTTTTTCCTTGGGCTTTTTTTCCGTGGGCTTTTTTTCCTCAGTGTATTTTTTTTTGGGGGGCTTTTTTTCCGTGGGCTTTTTTTCCGCCTACCGGACAGACAGGTCGAAAAATCTGACATGATTACATGAATACAAAATGCAAATTAAAAAAAATAATTTAATTTTCTCCACGAATAAAATATATAGGTATTACATTTTTAACCCTTTTGGGTAATCCCCTCCATATCGATTTATTCCAGTCTACTGAATTCAACACTGTATACAATATATACCTGAAAATAAATTCAATTTAATATGTATATTATGTGCATTACTTAACTAATATTATATATTGCTAAACTAAACTTACCTACTTAGTATACTATTACCACTTTTATTTTAATATTCGTTCAGCAAAAAAGAAACTTTTTTCCACGTATCATTATTAATCCATATCGTACATCTAACCAACATCTCGTTTGTATTTCTTGAATATAATAGCTAGAATGATGAGTATAAATGTACAAACACAAGAATAATCAGTCTCATCACGATATATCCTTGAAAAATTATTCACTGAAAATAAACTTTGGAAATTAGAATAAAAACATTTTAAATTTAAATTAATTTTCGTAACACAGAACTTCTAAAAAACAGGAAGTGAACTAAAAATGAAAATAAATGACTGTTAAATAATATTAAACTACAAAAATAATAGAACTCATACGTTTGTATTAAAATAACAGACTGACTGTCGATATAAATTATAAAATAAACATAATAAATAATAAATATAACATGGTATTTTAGTTGTAGCCAACAAAAGTTTATATTTTCATTATAGTCATTATATATTATACTTTCCAGCCAACATAATATTATAATATAACCGTTTTTCGTTTTACCTAATAAATAAAATATATTGTATTATTATAAGTACAATTATTATATTGAATTTATTTATTATATATTATATTATTGTATGACATTTAATAATATGATTTTTATAAAACAATTGTCCTATTCTTTTACTTGTAATGATGATGAGATAATAATAATAGAATAACAATAAAATGCTCAATTATGCTACTAATAATTTTAGCAATAATTGATAAGTAACTAGTGTTTATCAATCATAATATAATATAATAATATACCTATTGGCTATTATATATATATATATATATATATATATACATACGTTAATGGGTACATGGAGTTATTGTATACATAATATATTATGTTGTTACCGCCCTGTTGAAAATGCATGAACATTATAAATATTAAAACTAATAACTAAGTTAAGAAAACATGTATGGAATATGTAACAACATTTAGTATTAAGTCTAAGTACATTTTATTAAACCAATAACAAGATGAAGCAACATAGAAACTAGGTTAAGCTGTAATATATAAGAGATAGGAGTGGGCAAATGATGGTTCTTC